GTCATTGCGTGTGGCTATGTGAGTCTGAAGAGGGGCTTGTGGACCAGTACCAGATTAATGGACATGAGGTGGAATAGGCTGGTATGTTTTCTTGATAAATTATACTTCTGTATAAAAAGCTCTTTTTATACCCTGGGTTTGTTTTTCTTGTCAATCCAGCCTAACACAAGCTCCTTAACTAACTGACTGGAAGAGTTCCATGTTTGTACTTATTCCAAGGGAATGAGACTCCACAGAACACTCCATCTATAGAACAATATCACTAGTACGACAAAGAAGTCAAATTTTCCTGAAATCACCCAACAGCACATTGACAAGGAGCTACCAGAGGTTCAGGCCAGATTCAGAAGAGGGAGTGGAACAAGGGATATCATTGCTGATGTGAAATGGATCTTGGCCGAATGCAGAGAATACCAGAAAGATGTTTACTTGTCTTTAATGGACTATGCCAAGGCATTCTACTACTATGGAGAAGAATAGGAATTCCAAAACACTTCGTGGTGCACATGGGTACTTGACCATGGATGATGAGGCAGTTGTGGGGACAAAACAAGGAGATATTATATGGTTTAAAATTAGGAAAGTTATGCATCAAGGTTTTATCTTCTCATGATACTTATTCCATCTGTATGCTGAACAAGTCAAAGCAACTGTATTAGCTGTATTATATGAAGAACAATTAGGTATTAGGATTGGTGGGAGATTTATTAATAACCTGCAGTATTCAAATGACACCACCTTGCTGGCTGAAAATGAAGAGGACTTGAAGAATTTGTTGAGGAAGATCAAGGATTGCACCTGAAGTATGGATTCTGACTCAGCGTAAAGAAGCCTAAGATCCTTACAAGTGCTTCCATAGGTAATGGCATGACAAAAAGAGACAAGTTTAAGGTCGTCAAGGTTTGTGTCTTGCTTGGCCCCACAATCAATATTCCCGGAAACAGCAGTCATGAGATCAAAAGATGCGTTGCAATAGGCCCAAGGACTTTAGAGTATGGAAAAGCAAAGGTATAACTCAGAGGACTAAGATGCACTTAACCCAGGCTATGGTATTTTCAGTTGCCTCATACACATGGGAAGGTGGGACATCCAATAAGAAGGACTGAGGAAGAAGAGCTACTTTTGAATTGTGGCGCCAGAGAAGGATGTTGAAAACACCAGGACCCCAAAAGGCCAAACTCATCTGTCCTAGAAAAAGTGTGGCTAGAGTGTCCCTTAGAGGCAGGGATGGCAAGGCTTCTTCTTTTATGCTTTGGACATGTTGTTAGGGGCGACAAGTAGAGTGGAGGGGCCAAAACACGAGGAAGACCCTTGAGGAGATGGATAAACACAGCCCCCCCTGGGCTCAAGCTTAGGAATGAATCTGAGGATAGCACAGGGCTGGGCAGTGTACCCCTGCTTCGAATGGGGTCCCTGTGTATCAGAACCAAGCCCATGGCACCTAACTGCAACAACATTGCCATAAAAAAGGCCACTATCTCAGAAATCTGCAGTGGCCTTCTTGTTGTGTCTTCTATGGTAATTATGACTCGGCATGGGCTCCTTGGCAGAGTGGGTTTCACGGATTTTGGTTTGTTTTTTTTAAATAAATATGAGCTTTCACGAGCCTGCCCTCCTAGGACGTGGAACTTTCAGGTAAACCATGTGCTGTTATCGTCAAAGGTCAATCATTCAAACCCATCAGCAGCTCTGCAGGAGAAAGCGGAGACTCTCTGTTCCCTTAAATATCTACAGCCTTTGCAACATTATGCAGGATCACCATACATAGGAATCCACTCAGTAGCAGTGGCTTTAGTTATGCATCTTAACGTACCTCACAGGTCCCTAGGTGGCACACATGGCTGGCAGTTGACTCGTAATTGACAGCGAGCAGGCAGTTTGAACCCAGACATTAGAGTTGGCGAAGAAAAGCCAGGCATTCTGTTTTCCTGGGAGGGGAGCCAGGAGAATCCTATAGAGCAACTTCACTGTGTAATACATGGTTCACCATGAGTCAGAATCCACTTGATGCCAACAGATTTAGTTTGGGTTTTTGAAACCTACTCTGGGTAAAAGAAATATCCAAATGTAGCTCCCTTTCACCCTCGTCTCACCAAAATGGGGCAACAGAGGATGCTTTCAAGCATTTGTGATGGTCACAGTACCTGGATATTGCTCATTAAAGATGAGATGGAATCTTCACATATAGGATGTGATTCTTCCCCACTTACCTTAGCACCATAGAATTCATACCAACCCTGTAGGACAGAGCGATACTGTCCCAGTCTTTAGAGGTAGGTGCCCAGCCTTCGCTTTCTCTGACATTGTAGGGCTTCTGTGTAATGATAGGAGGCGATAGCTGAAATAACTGTAAACTCCAGGTGTTAAGAGAAAATATCTCGGCAAGCCCAAAGACAATAGGGGAGACCAAGATTAGGTCACCAGAAGTAATTTGAGCTTCTACTACCATAACTATAGAAAATAGGAAACAGCTAGATGGGAAGAGAATTTATGGCAAACCAGTGAAATGGAGAATGAACAGCACTAGAGAGAGAACCTGAGAGCTGGAACCACCAGGTGAAGGTTTGGAGGAAAGAAAAAGGAAGTTGTGCAGGAAACTGTAGGAGTGCAGTGAGGAGGAGCTGTACTCCTTCTCGCGAGCAGGGAGAAGACTGCACATTGGACCCTCTCTGTCCACTGACCACTGGGAGTCTGCAGTGCACTACAACCCCATTGTTCAGGATTCTGCGGTCCAAACGGCTTCCATTAATAGCAAACCACACGCAGTGGTCTAACAGAATGATCCCATTTTTCCCCTTTAGTTTTTGCAAAAACTATTCATGTGATAGGAGCCCTGGTGGAGTAATGGTTACAGAAGGTCAGCAGTTCAAAACTACGGTCGCTCCTCAGGAGAAAGAGGAGTCTTTCTAGTCCCATAAAGAGTTCCAGTCTCGGGAGGTCCCAGCAGCAGGTCTATGCTGTCTTGCAGGGTCTCACGGAGTCAGCGTCGACTAGAGAGCAGTGATGTTGGTTTTGGAGGACAAATGCGATGGCTCATTTTTTGTGTCAACTTGACTAGAATAAGATTTTCCGTGGTTTGGCTAGACACTGGACAGGCTGGTATTCTGAAAAGTAATGCAAGGCATTGTGTCTTCACTGTCTAGTGTGGGATCAAGTACGTTCTTGCAAGGTGGGGGGTGGTTGTTTTGAGGAGATAGTATATATTCTGCTTCCAAGAAGACCTGGTGGTGCAGTCAAAGCTCTCAGCTGCTAAACAGGAAGTCAGCAGCTCAAACCTCCCAGCCATTCCGTGGGGAACAGATGTGGCAGTCTGCTTCCATTATTTCCCTCTTCTGCTCCCTCCCCTCGGTCAGTGTTGTTGCTCCACAGAACTCCCCTCAGCTGACTGGAAATAAATTGTGTGCCACTGCACCAATGCTCATGGCCCACGATTAAAAACAAAACTCACTGCCATCAAGAAGAGTCCAACTCATAGTACCCTATCGAACTGCCATTGTGGGATATCTGAGACTAGAGATGTTTATTTGATGGGGGGAAGGCTCATCTTTCTCCCATGGAACAGCTAATGGACTTGAAGCAGCCCAATGCCTAACGACGACGACACCATACAGAATGTTACCACACAGATTAGTGTCTGAAACATTATTATTACACAAGTTTGAGCCCCGAACTCAGGAGAAATCCGTGTTGATGCTAAAGCAGAATCTGAGCTCTTTCCAGGATTTTGAGATAGAACAACAATGGAGCAGGATCAGCCCGCACCCAATGATCCCCTCCCCACAGACATGGAGATTTGATGACTGTTGTGAGTACTAAGTGAGGGCATGAAGATTCACTCTTCTCTAAGACCTGTGGCATCAGCAACAACATTATGCCCCTTGTCAGTGACTACGCTATATGGTTCGATGGCATGCAAATGAGTTAAGTCCTTCTTTTTGCTACTACTAATAACACAGCCTATGAAATTCAATAAGTTTACAATGGTATTAAGTTTAAAATAAAGTCTCCCTGCTCTCTTGCTCCCAGCCATACAGTTACCCTCCCAGAAGGCAGCCACTTTTTTTTTCTTTAACGGGATAGCAAGTACGCAGTCCCCCCAACCCCACACCACAAATCATGCAGTCGAGTTTCCCACATTTGGGGAAATCGCAGGGGTCAGCACACCCGGAGTGCAATGGGTGAGCCTTGCCCTGGGAAAACCACCTTCCTGATCCTGGTGCCTCCCCTGCCAGGGAAGTATAAGGCAGCTACTTTTATAGATTATTCAGTCCTTTCAAAGTATCCTGTCTTTTCATAAATGTTCGTTGTGTTCTCACAAATGATAGTAGATGATAGTTTTTGCCCTGACCTTTTTTCACTTTAACGTACGTTAGACTACTTTCCTATAATTGTGAAAGTAATTTGTACCCTGTTATCAGTACTGGTTTTCATGAAATCAATAGTATTTCGGGGGGGGAGAACTAAACTAGTTCTAAACATGATTTCTCCTTCTGTTGATTTTATTTGCCATCCTCGAGTCACATAGAGATTTCTTTCATGTTGGGTATGATGAAGATGGACTCCAAAAGATCGTCTGTACATTTCAATAGGAAACACCTCCTGCGATTTTGACCAGTCCTTTTCAGATGGTTTGATTTTGGAATCTGAAAGGTCCCTTTCATTGTTGAATTGGCAGAAAGCAAAGGTAAACAAGAGACCGTTGGATTCATATACTTGTGATGATTGCCACACTTCAGATTATTTACATAACAACATCAGGTTCATTCGAATGCACTCTTTAAATGACAAGCATCAAATATAGACTAGAGGATCCATTTCAATGTGTGGCTGTAGATGGATGATAACTCAGGATTTGTGTTCACAATGGCACATTTCTTCCACTTAAGCAAGCAGGAGGAGCAGGCATGTAGGAGGTTTTACCAGCTGCCGCAAACTTAGGCCCACAGGGCCTGATGACAGAGGCTGGATGGACTTAGCTCTTGCGCGCACGTCCAATTCCTGCTTAGCTCCCCATGCTGAAGCCACTATATTTTGGGCTAGCATCCAAGTTTGGCATCATTTATCTACATGAACAGGTGCTCCCATAAAATGAACTGCACAAAAAGCAAATGCTACGGCAGGGCTCAGTGATTTCTCACTTGATGTTTGTGGAGATGGTGTGTTTGGAGACAGTCTGGGTCTCTCCACAGTCTCAAGAAGCTGAAAAGCGAAAATACAGAGATCAGCGTTTTCCAGGGCAGGGCATCTCTAAGATTTCATTTCAAACCACTTCTTTAAAAGCACATCACTTGCTCAAATAGCTTTAATACGATTTATCCTACATTTCCTGGTGTCTCAGCTTACGCTAACATATAGGTGATGTTGGATAAAATGCTGAAACAAAAGAAGAATTGGTAGAATGTTTAAAAGTGGTTACAGTGGGTCAAAGAAGATGGAGGAAAGAGTAGAACAAGAAGAAATTAATAATTAAATCGAAATCAAATGTCTCTGGAACTCTCACCGGGAGAGAAGAAAGAAATCAGAGGATTGTGGAAAATATATAAAAAGTAATTAGCGAGTTCACTGAAAGACAGAGCAGAATTCACACACCGGACCTACCGGAATTTGCATTGGTTTCACTTTCAATTATTTTAAAATTCTAAGATCTTTGTGGATTGCAACTTGTAAAAATCATTTTATTGGGGCTCATAAAATTCTTATCAAAATCCATCCATCCATCCATTGTGTCAAGCACATTTATATATTTGCTGCCATCATTTTCAAAACATTTTCTTTCTACTTGAGGCCTTGGTATCAGCCTCTCATTTTTCCCCCTCCCTCAAACACCTCCCTCCCTCATGAA